CAGCTTGCCTTTCTGTTCCTTCAGCTTCAAACACTTCAATTCCATAGCATCACAGACAACGGGAACTTGTAGGCTTGTACTAGTTTATGAAAGTAGTGTATGTAGTTTGAATAGCTTCCCCACAAATATACACTGCCTCGAGTAAACTGCGAGATTTGAGATAATCTAAATTGAGTCCAATGTGTTTTTAATCCAAGGGGGCTTTTTATAGGGACATAGCCGCTTTTGTTCCCCTGAGCCTCAGATGAATGACAGACCCCTTCTTGCACTTACAGGTTGTTACATTCTTAGATGGTAACTCATCTTCCTAGGACAGCTGCAGATTTGAGTTGTTTTTCTGCCTCTGGCGATAGGTTGCTGATAACAGCACGCTATTACTAGTTATCATTTCTTTTTTAAAAATTGTATTAGGGTATAGTTGCTTTACAACGTTGTGTTAGTTTCTGCTGTATAATGAAGTGAATCAGCCATAGGTATACACATACCCTCTCCGTCTTGGACCTCCCTCCCGCGCCCCCCATCCCACCCATCTAGTTTGTCACAGAGCGATAAGCTGAGCTCCCTGTGCTATACAGCAGGTTCCCACTAGCTATCTTTTTTACAGGTCGTCGTGTATTTATGTCAAACCTAATCTCCCAGTTTATCCCACACCCCTTCCCCCACTTTGTTCACATGTCCATTCTCTACGTCTCCTGCAAATAGGTTCATCTGTACCATTTTTCTAGATTCCACATATGTGTGTTAATATACGATATTAGTTTTTCTCCTTCTGACTTAACTTCACTCTGTATGACAGACTCTAGGTCCATCCATGTCTCTACAAATGACCCAATTTTGTTCCTTTTTATGGCTGAGTAGTATTCCATTATATATATATGTCCCACATCTTTATTCATTCATCTGTTGATGGCCATTTAGGTTGCTTCCATGTCCTGGCTATTGTAAATAGAGCTGCAGTGAACATTGGTGTGCACGTATCTTTTCAAATTGTGGTTTTCTCAGGGTATATGCCCAGTTGTGGGAGTGCTATGTTATTATGGAGAACAATATGGAGGTTCTTTTAAAAACTAAAAATAGGGGTTTCCCTACGGGGTGCAGTGGTTAAGAATCCACCTGCCAGTGCAGGGGACACAGGTTCGAGCCCTGGTCTGGGAAGATCCCACATGCTGCGGAGCAGCTAAGCCTGTGAGCCACAGCTACTGAGCCCGAGTGCCACAACTACTGAAGCCCACGCACCTAGAGCCCGTGCTCTGCAACAAGAGAAGCCGCTGCAATGAGAAGCCCGCGCACCGCAACTAAGAGTAGTCTCTGCTCACTACAACTAGACAAAGCCCACGCACAGTGATGAAGACCTAACGCAGCCAAAAAGAAATAAATTTATTTTTTAAAACCCCTAAAAATAGAACTACCATATGACCTAGTTATAATTTCTGAGTGCTTTACAAATATTAACTGATTTGATCCTTGCAACGAGCCTCTGAGGTGTGATTGGTTTGGAATACGTGGTAGCTCACTGGAGCCTGAACCCAGAAGGCTGATCACAACCTCAAACCAGCTGAGAACTTTCCTCTGAGGCTTGGCTTCAGAGCCTGTTCTAAGTGCACCAGTGTGGCTGTGAGGGGCTGCAGGTCTCACCTGGAAAGGGTCTCCTGGAAAGTGGGGGGCTCTTGCGCTTTCAGATTCCCATCTTGGTGCTCCCATCAAGGCTGCAGTTTCTTGGGCAGAGGCTGGAGGCCAGAGGGGCATGAGCTCGGGGCCTGGGCGGCCCCAGGGGAGACTTACTGGGGTGGCAGAAGACCAGGAAATGCTCTGGATGCGGCTTCAGTGTCTGCCCTTGTGGCTCTCCGTGCCACGGGAACTAGCAGTGGGACCGCTGACAGAATCCATGAGTGGGAACCACCCTGAGTGCATCAGGCCTCTGTGGCACCTTTTGTGTAGCCATGCAGACTCGATTAACCTGCCAGGGATCTTCCTTTAGGCAGAATATCATGTGTTGATCTATATATTTAAGTTTCTTTCTTTTGTCTCCTGTGCCCCTCCAACATCCATCTATCCACCCATCCCCTAAAACGTGCCGCGTGGGGCTTACTTTTTTTTTTTTTTTGGCCGCACTGTGCAGCAGGCAGGATTAGTTCCCCAACCAGGGATGGAGCCCACGGCCCCTGCAGTGGAAGCACGGAGTCCAAACCACTGGACTGCGAGGAAAAACCTAGCACTTTTTTTTTAAATTGAACTATAGTTGGTTTACAATGTTGTATTAGTTTCAGATGTACAGCAAAGTGATTCAGTTACACACATATATATGTATCTATTCTTTTTCAGATTCTTTTCCATTATAGGTTATTACAAGGTATTGAGTATAGCTCCCTGTGCTGTACAGTAAGCCCTGTCTTAGTATTTTTAAAGCTGCAAGTAGGGATTTTCCTGGTGGTCCAGTCGTGCTTCCACTACAGGGGGTGCATTTTCTATCCTGGGTTGGGGAACTAAAAAAAAAAAAAGAAAAAGGTGCAAGTAGACAGCACTCTTCTTAGGTTAAAGCTCGTTTCTGGAGCTGCTCCTCTGGTCCTAGGAGAGGAGGTGGGAAGGTCAAGCGACATGGACCCAGCTCTCAGGGATCTCCGACCCAGTTGGGGTGTCTGGACAGGTGACTTGTAATGACGGAGCAGTCAAGGCACGGGGCAGAATTCTGTCCTTCCCTTCTGCAAATCAGGTGGGTGATGCCAAGATGACGTCAGCTAATAATTTTGGGTTGAGTTAATACAATGGTTCTCAAACTTTTACTCACAAAATCTTTGAGGATCCTAAAGGGCTTTTGTTTATGTGGATTCTATCTACTATATCCTGTATAATGTCACCAGTATTAGAAACTAAAACTGAGAAATTTTCAAAGTACAAGCCTACACAATTACACCATCTATTTTGTGTCAGAGCAATATTGCCATTTATGATGCAGCTTCTGGAAAATTCTGTACACTCTGAGAGAATTAGAGTGAAAAAGAAAACATCTCAACATTTTTATGAAGAGAGTTTTGAATTTGTAGACTTTGCAAAAGTCTCTCAGCGGCTCCCTATCCTTCAAGAACTGCTGGAGTACAGCATCAAAGATTTGAAGATTCTAACAGAATGCCTTGATCAGTAACAGGAAAAGCATTCTTTTAAAAAATCCTTTGGGGACTTCCCTGGTGGTGCAGTGGTTAAGAATCCACCTGCCAATGCAAGGGACATGGGTTCGAGCCCTGGTCCGGGAAGATCCCATATGCCGTGGAGCAACTAAGCCCCTGCACCACAACTACTGAGCCTGCCCTCTAGAGCCTGCGAACCACAGCTACTGAGCCTGCGTGCCACAACTACTGAAGCCCACGCACCTAGAGCCCGTGCTCTGCAACAAGAGAAGCCACTGCAATGAGAAGCCCACGCACTGCAACGAAGAGTAGCCCCCGCTCGCCACAACTACAGAAAGCCCGCGTGCAGCAACGAAGACCCAACGCAGCCAAAAAAAAAAATCCACAAAACTTTGTAAGTAGGAAAGGAAGAAAGTAAGTTTCCTTTACCTTCTTATGTTCTGTTCTTGGGATGTGCAAATTAAACTGACAAAAGCAGGGCTTCCCTAGTGGCAGAGTGGTTAAGAATCCGCCTGCCAATGCAGGGGACATGGGTTCGAGCCCTGGTCCGGGAAGATCACACATACCGCGGAGCAACTAAGCCCATGCACCACAACTACCAAGTCTGTGCTCTAGAGCCTGCAAGCTGTGTGCCACAACTACTGAAGCCCACGTTCCCAGAGCCCGTGCTCCACAACAAGAGAAGCCACCGCAATGAGAAGCCTGCGCACCACAAGGAAGAGTAGCCCTTGCTCGCTGCAACTAAAGAAAGCCCACGCGCAGCAACAAAGACCAAACACAGCCAAAAATAAATAAATAAATTTATTTAAAAAATAAAATAAACTGACAAAAGCCACATTAACAGGAGAAAAGGCATAGAAATTTTATTTGATGTCAACGTTTAATTTTTATGTGCATGGAGACCTTCATAGAACAGAAGTGAAGACCCAAAGAAGTGGATAGACCAGGTTCTTATACACTACAGTACTTTAACAAATGGTGAGAAATTGTGGAAAAGCAATAAGACAAAGGAAAAGAGGTTTGGGCTTCCAGGTGCAGTAAATTGTGGGGAGGTAAGTGTATGGGGGAACTAAGAGAAGACGGGTTATTTTAGTGAGGTTCGTCTGTTCAGATCCAGCTTGGAGCCCAGTTGAACTGGGCTGAAGGAGCCCAGTTTCTGTCTGCAGTGATAAGGGCTGTTCTCCCGGAATGGGAGCTGGAAGGGGGCGCCTTCACAGACAGAAATATATGTCCTGCTCTGAGGCAGAAAGGAGGGCACAGAGCTCTGTCTGCTTTTGTGCTTCTTAATTGCCTTTAGCTCAAAATAATCCTTGTGTAAAAGTGGGATCTTTGGGGCTAGCACATTCTGATACCCTTCAGGACCCCCAGAGATGGACAAGCAAAAAGCCTGCTCTTCCCCACTGCATGTTTTCTTTTGTCTCACCTACTGTGCACCCCTGGCTCTTCGCACTCTGCCCCTGACCATTTCACCCTTGGTGTCCCTAGTGGCTTGGCCACCTCACGGGTCCCCCGCCTCGGGGTGGGAGAGTGGGGAGATGAAGTGGGTCCTTGGAACACCCTTTCTGGCTTGTGTCCTGTTCTCAGCTGGCCTGTTCCTCATTCGCTGCACAAACGCTTACTGAGCACCGACCATGTGCCAGGCACTGTTCTAGGTGCCAGGACCCAGCCCTGAACAAGAGGCAGACATCCCAGCCTCGTGGCACCAAAGAACATTATCCCACTTGGGGCTGGGACTTCTGATCAATCTCAGAGGCTGTCACAAGCACTGAACAAGGAAATCACAGAGTCCAACCTAGTTTTGGAGACTGTTGGCAGTTGGGACTGGAGATCTGCTCTGCTCAGCTCTGACATCTGGTCGGGACCATGCTTCCCTCGCAGGTGTATGAACTGAACGGGACGGTCTACAGCCCAGAGTGATCGGTGAGGTTGTACGAAGAGGTGGCTCGTAATTTTGCAAAAGAGCATCCTGGGTTTATTGGAATCAAACTCATTTATTAGGATCACAGGTGAGAGCGAGCACGGCTGAAGCTGAAGGAGCTAGGAGACGGGGTGGGGGTGGGGTGGGGGTGGGGGAGGGGCTGGGAGGCTGGGGCCAGAGACCCTGGGGGACTCCATGTGCCGTAGCGGGAGTGCAGAATCCACTCTGAAATCACGACCAGGCTGGAATGAAGAACTGTGGCAACTTTCCAGATCATTCCAGGCTGTGACCCACACTGGCCTGGGTCATCAGTTACGGGTTTAGTGTTTTTGCCTGAATGTTTTTTGCTTCAATCTGCGGCCGGGTTCTGCCTCACGGCAGCCACGTCTGTGTGAGACCTCTGGGAGCTGCAAAGAAAGACTCGCCCTTGCCCCAAGCAAGAGAAGGAAGCCTACAGTGGAATTCGGATTTTACCGAGGAAGGGTCTCCCTTTTGTCAAAAAGCAGCCAGTCTGGACAGTCGGTGCCCTGTCCAGCTGGAGGGCTTGGGAAGGGCAGACCCCGCCTGCTCAGCCTCCCACCGGGGGAGGTGGAAGGGCAGTCAGACCTCCGTGGAGACCCCTCCCGTCCTGGTGAGACTTGGGGCCGCCGGAGCTGGTGGGCCAGGGTGGAGCTGGCAGTGGTGGACGGTGGAGGCTCCCGGGGGCCGGTGTCAGGAGCGCGGCTGCACGGCGTCCCCTTGGCACTTGGGACGGAGGCAGCTGCTCCCGGTGCAGAGGAGGGACGGGCAGGTGTGGGGCTCACAGAGCCAGGGATGGAACAAGTGGGCCGACGCCTCGGCCCCATCATGGACTTGCACCTTTTCTCTTTGTGCTTCCGTGGTGTCGCTCCCACCTTTTCCCTGCCCTGGGCTGGAAGGGAGAGATGTGCGGGGGAGAAGAGACCTTTGGTCGTGTGGTTTCTGCAGTGCCCGGGCCTTGCTGACGGGACCAGGGCCCAGGCTCAGCTGCCCTGGCAGGGACTGGGTGGCTTGTGGTGGTTCACAGGTGCCCAGGGAGCAGTGGGCTGGGCACATCCAGGACCATCCTCTCAGGGATGCGGGGCAAGTTTCGGGCATGGCCGCTTTGCTTCAGCCAAATGCAGACAAATAAAACTGCATTATTTGTTTTGACCCCGTGGGTCCCCGTCCCCACTGGCTTTCCAGAGCCTACGCTCTCTGTGGACCCCGCCGGAGTCCTTGACAGGATGGATTTGGGCAGAATTTCTCCGTGATGTGGCACTTGGGGGGCACAACAGCCTGGATGGGGCAGGGTCGTGTGGGAAGGGCGGCAGGGTGCCCTGGACAAGGCCAGAGTGGCCGTGAGGGGCGCTCACTACACCCACTGGCCCCAAGGAGCCTGCGCCCGAGCTTCTCTCCATCTCTCCCGCAGGTCCAAAGATGCGTCCACCATCACGAAATCCATCCAGACAGCCATGGAACTTCGAGCCAAGTTCCCCGGGATGGTGGCGGGGTTTGACCTGGTAATGGGCCCAGCCCAAAGCCCTCCGGGAAGAGCTGGGTGGCCGGCACCACTGAGACCCTCCCTCGGGGCCTGGGGGGGGAAGGGAGAGCAGAAACGTTCAGAAAAAGGCTAGAAAGGGAAGCTCCAGAACAAGGAAGGGCCAGGATGAGGGGCTGCCCCCCCCCC